AATAAAAATTGAATAATAATTTGATTGTATTATGAAATTTTTTCCCTGAATTGGTGGCCGTAAAGTAGAATAAATATGTATACTCAATAATTGCGCAATCTATTTGACATTTCATTTTTTTTTATAAATCATTATTTAATTATATATAGTGAATAATAATTCTTAAATGTAATATAATATAACATCTCAGTCTCTACAGAAATAGTGGGCGAACTATTTAGGCAAAATAATTATAAATCAGTCCACATTTTCTAAATTCGTTTACATAAAAATTTTAGTCATTGAAATGTCTTAATAACTAAATCATGATGACAAATCATGTCGAACAAAATTTACTATATAAATTAGGACTATATTTTAAAACATTGATAAATAGAATATAAGTCGGTGCAAATGTGGTAGTTCATTTCATTTAGTGCAAAAATTTATTTTTACACTTCTTAAAATCAATCAATATTTTATGGAAATGATATTTCTATACTTAGAAACATTTTTGAGTTTTTGAATTGTGAGAAATCAAATCAATAGATAAAATATATTATTAAATACTCCAACCCCAGATATTTTAAAAATGACTATACTAAATTAATTTTTGTAATATCAAAACCCATATATTATTAAAATGAATTTACTAATTTTTTATATCACTTTTAAATAATTTGCAATTGTTCATGGTTTGTTTTATTTAATTAAATTAATGCAATTTCTATTTATATTAAAGTACCAACTAATAAAATTTTAGTACTTATTATTAAGTCACTAAAAATTACAATTCGAATGATGAGGAAAAAATAGTTGTAAATATATAGGATTTTATTGGAAAACTTTACAGATTTAGTCTTGATAATTATGATAAAAAAAATTGTTGTATAAAATACGATAATCAACACCAATTTGATCCGAGGTCTCTTATATATTTGGAAACCTCTTTTATTTCAATACAATGAAATATTTGAAAAATATTGCTTTCACAAATTTAATAAACTTAATCACTATACTACCATTTTTTAACCACGACATTAATTGTATCCATTATATAAAGTGAAATAATTTTCATGTGTTGTTATTAGTATATTGATATATAACTATTATTATTAAATATTTTCGATAGATGTAACTGGGGATAACATAAAAAAAATTTGACAAAATTTAAGATATATTTTTCGAGAATGTTATATAATATTTTAAATTATTTAAACATTTTATTGAGTTGTATTAACACATTATAGGCGTAGCGCTTTTACACAATTTAATTTTCATGGCATTTTAAGCACTTGAAGACGGTATACCTCGGTCTAAGTTCTTTTGAATATTAATCACGAGTGTGGTTTGTATAGGAACAAAATAATAATATAATATTATCTATTGTAAATTATGTCCATGTTGCATCACATTAAATATTTATATATATAAAAGTTTGTTTTACTTGAAAAAGTAATGATTTTTTCAAAAAAATAAAAAAAATTATTTATATATATATATATATTTTGCTTACTAAATTAATTTCAAATATTTTCCAGACATTCTTTCAAACATTTTTTTCTATTTCTTTTTATTGATATTTTTGACCACCTGTTGTAAGACTTTTTATTTTTATACTTAATGTGAAATTAATAATTGATCTAAATATATTGATTAAACTTTTCAAAAAAAAAATATTTCTACATAATCTATTTTATGTTTATTGACATGATATCAATAAATTGAAACTAAACTTATCAAAAAATTACAATAAATTATTTCATTTCATTCGATTGGTAAAGTGTAAATAAACGAATATGGTTATAGGTTAATAAATAAAATGGTAAGTAGAAGTAAGTGATTAATATATATATATGTTTAGTTTTTTATATCATGGTATTTTTTTTTTCTTATTAACTATTAATTCTATAGCCTTTTTAAAAATTAAAAAACAATTTTGTATATTATTCATTTTTCATTTGTAATATTAAATTAACCTTTGTTTTACAAGCCTTGCTTTGACACTCATATTGTAGGCATAAATAAAAAAATATTTTTTTAAAGTATTAGTAAGTTTATTATTTAGTTGCACAATATAAAATGAACTAAACATACTAATATCATACTAATATTGTTGTGTACAAAGAGATTTTTAATAGTATATGATTTTTTTATGACGAAGAGTTTATGATTTGATAACTTTCTTACGTATTATAACTCTTTTATTTATTAATACACTTCAATTTGTAATATTCTTAAAATAAATTCAGCCCGTGCATCGCACGGGTTACGTACTAGTTTTGGAAAAAAAGGCTTCAGGTATTTCGATTCATTATCGGAACTTCAAAGTCAAAACCCTACTTTTCCAATTGGTCCGGGCAAAATTTTGGTTTCAGTTCGATTTGGCCTGTTAACAATATCCCTTATCCCTACTTGTAGCCAAATAATAATAAGAAGAATAGCACATTTTGGCACTAGTACAATTTTATAAACTAAAAAATCCTTAAAAATCAATGAAATTCTATGTTGATGATAAATCTTAAATAAAAACATGAGAAAAAGATGTGTAAATTGATCAAATCTTTGTACGGACTTAAACAAGTTCCGAAATAATGACATTTGAATTTGATGACGTGATGTTGTCAAATGGGTTCAAAATCAATGAATGTGACAAATGTGTTTAAATTAAGAACATATCAAATACATTTGTAATTGTATGTCTATATGTAGGCGATATGTTGATCATCGGGAGTAGCCATAAAGTGATCATGGATACGAAAAGAATATTGAAGAGAAATTTCTACATGAAATATATGGGTATAGCTGATGTAATTCTTGGAATAAGGATTATCAAAACCCAAGATGGAATTGTCTTGTCATAATCTCACTACATAGAGAAAGTGCTCAAGAAATTTAATGTCCATGACGGTCTGCTATCTAGAACACCTCTTGATATTAGCGTAAGCCTGGTAGTCAACAAAGGTCAACCAGTAGATCGATCATTTAAAATATTCACGGATAATAGGGAGGCTGATGTCCTTGACGAATTGTACACGACCAGACTTAGTCTATCAAGTCAATAAGTTGAGTAGATTTACGAGCAATCCCAGTCATAAGTATCGGAACGCTTCGACACCGGTTTTGACTGAATTTTTTTTGGCTAAGTATTTAATTTAGGTTGAATTAAATTGCGTAGAAAAATTTTACGTTCCGAGAAGATACTTGTACTATATTTATTTTCTCAAAATTGATTTTCGGTTAGTGAGAAATAAATGATTAAGTTAGCCATATATGGACGCGTAAAACAATAATTGTGGGATTCGAAGGGTCAAGAATTCTTCCCACATTAGGACTTTAAATAAGATTAACTCTCTTTATTATAATAAAAAAAATTGGAAAGGCCACAACAATAACAAAGTTATGCACCAAGTGTTGGTTTTGGCTTCGGTCACGTGCGCGCACGCTCGTTGGCCGATCGGCTCGGCTCGGGCACGGACTTGAGACTGGGACTTGGAGTTTGGGTCTCCAATTCAAGTTGAAGTAAGACATTTATAAGTTGACTGAATCTGGACATATGACCTTCCTCCTGACCATTTCAGTGGTTATCAAGTGGATTGATAGTGTGTTAACACTTAAACGGCAAGCTTAACACCTAACCATTTTTGCCCACTTACCAAAGTCGTTAGTTGGTTGTTTCATGCCTTAAGTGGCTGAAGACCATAGGTCATCCCCTGCTGGCTGGGAATCTTATAAATAAGACAGTGTAGAAGCTGCATAAGACACAAGACATACAACTGCATATCATTCTACACTGAAAGTCGCATGCATCATGTACATTGCTTAGTTCTCGACTATGTCCGTGTTCGCGGGAGCTCTAAAGTCTGGTGTGCTACAGCTTCCGAGACAATAGTCGTTGTATCTTTTGGGACATTACGCACAGTCCCGAGGGCGGATCAAGAAAATTTAATTAGGAGGGACTAAATAAGTTTCAATAATGACACACTTCATTAAAAAGACAAAGTTGCATTTCTAGAATAGCAAAGAAAAAAAGTAGTTCAAGAAAATACATACCATTCAAACTTTGTAACTGTTAGAATTGTGCTCGACGTTCTCTCAAGTCACGAAATTAACTCATCAATGATTGACTCGGTAGTAATAGATCTTGCAATTTCCCTTTCAACAAAGATTGTAAAAGAATTTACGAATAAAGTCATCTTCTATTTTACTTCGAAGTTTGGATTTAAGTTAATTAAAATAGTTTGATTAGTTTTATTAATAAGGCAATAATATAATACAATACAATAAAGTGTGGAAATTAAATGGGTTTTATGGGTTATCTTTTAAATATATCTCGTCTTGGCTTGTCTTAGCCCACTTAATCAAAGTCAATTTATCATTAGTTAATTGGTTAATGGAGAACAATAATAACCAAATATACTTAATACATTACATATATATTTAGATAAAAAGAACAAAAAGCTTGGGGGGACAATGACCTCCCCTACAATATACCTCCATCCGCCCCTGACGGTCCCATTAACACTATACGGGGTGTATTTGTCTTGCAGAAAAAGAAACCCTCGCCTCCACTGATACTCTTTCTGCATCTATTTTTTTTTTTTTTTTTTANTTGTTCTTTTTCTGTTTTAGTTCAAGTTGTACAAACTGAAAACACAATATTCAGTTCATAGGTTACCCGTGTAATTTTCAAACACTTTAATATGATCGGGATTTGGTGATTGTTTGGCGAAGAAAGTAGACGAGAAAAAGAAAGAAAACGGGTTCTTGTAGCTAAGGCGAAATTATCTATGTACAAAGCGCATTTTGCATATATCAAACGTGTAGGGTGAATGGACCCCTTGTTGCCCCTATGGAGGTATTGTCTTATTCTTTTTGTATATGGATAGCCATTGAGCTCTGGTGTGCATGTATGTAGCTAATATGTTGGGAGAGATTTTGCGGCGTATGCTAATAACATAAAGCATCTTTCTTGAGTTCTATTTAATTGCATGATCAATCATATAAACTTTGAGGAATGACCAAATTGAAAATGTTTTTTGAGTAGCCATCTTACTAATGATGTAGACAAAACAACACTAAAATATTTTGATTTACAGCCTCCAAAAGAAAATCTCATCTACACTACACAGTATAAATACATTTAAAAAAGAAAAAGAACAAGAAGAAGAAAAAAAGATACAACAGAAATTTACATCTCTCCAGTCATGACACTGAACTGCCTCATAATCCCCTATTAGCAAATTAATTCACAAAACTCTTCATTTTCACTTGCTTCCACATGAAGTAATAATCTCAATTCTCAAGCATGGACATAATAGAGGACTTCTTATTGCTAGTTTGTATTTTCACTAAAGGGTCCAACCATCTGCCCCATTTTTTTTATCTACTGTGTAAGAGGCACACACTCGAGCTCGATCTCGAGCACTCCACGCTCGACATTTTGTAACTTAATGGAGATTTCTTGTTTCACACGGCCATCCTCGAACATGATGACACCATCCTTGACAAGCGTGTTCTCTTGGCTTGCTTTCCATTTACCGATCAATGTCGACTCAATAATCGAGGAGGATTCTGAAGCCTTAGCAGCCGAGAGTAATGGCTGAATGTCGATCTCGGCATTCCCCATGAAATCGTCCGTCGAGAAAGTGTCCTTATCATAAACGAGCTGACCAAAACAAGATGTTTTAAATGAAAATTGATATGGCGGATTATAGGTTATAAAATATCGACTCATCTAATATTTTTTTNGGAACTCTTTCGGTTGTAAGTTCAGTGAATTACGAATTATCTTACTCCGAATAGGTCAAAAGAAAATGAGAAGTATTAGAGTCAAATAAGGAGACTCACCAACTTCAATGGGGGTATATTTTCTGGAATTGAAAGCATAAGACTTTCATTCCAAACTGGGTTGAGATTATTCTTTATAACTCGTGTCTTCATCGACTGCAGCAAAATTTCAAAAGTCGTTGTAAAAAGAAGCTGCATAAATCACTATAAATCTTTGACGTCATAAAATGAGCAAACAGAAGGAGGATTTACCTGATTCCCCAAGGAGAGGATTACGTACGGATCACTTGTCACCATATCTCGTACAGCTAAGTTAGTGCCTCTTACTATATTAACCTTAATCAATCCTACAAATTCGACCATACCTGCCTATAAAACATAAGTCAATATGATAAAAACAATGCATTCATGTACAAGAATAGACAGTAAAACAAAAAGGAAAAGGAGTGAAAGACTACAATAAGGTAAAAGTAACTTCATTTTTTTAAAACAGGATTTGTAAAATGGTTGTCACAAAGAGCAATTTTCTTTCTAAAATTTCAGCAGAGGATCATTTCTTTTCCTTTCATGTTAATCAATGCTCGATTTTTTTTCTTCAAATTTTGTAATTTGGGGCTTGGATCTTGGCTTGTTTTTAACATCAAATCACTGTCCAAATTTAGCTTTTGTTGCACAGTTGAGCTCCTATCTATTTTTTTTTTTCCAAAAAAAAAAGTGCGATTTTTTTGTTATCGCTATTTACAAAAATGAAGTTTTTTTCCCAGAGCAGCAAACTATTACCATTGAGTTACTTTTCTTAGTTGTCCTGTGTTCTGTTCTCCGCCAGCTATTACGAAACGCGTGGCCAATACCTTGTATACGATGGCACGTCGTTTGTTTTTCATAGTTTTTCTTCTCAGGGCCCAATTGAGAACTGCATCCCGAAGAACTGCAGCTGGAGGACGATGATGTGGGTGGAAACGGGCAAGACAAAGTTAAATCGCAGTTCAAAAATTGATGCAGCTCGTATTTTCTCCTGGAAAAAAAAAAAGAAAAACAAACAAATGGGAATATGTTTATTCACAAAATGCAAATTCTAATTTTAGAAAGTAAACATGTTCTGAATCTGGAACCTTATAAAATCAGATCGTTCCTCGGCAGGTGAATTAGGATTCGGTTTTTTTAAATTATCGGGAATGTGAGCTTCGTATTTCAAGTTCACAGCAGTATTTCCACCCATCTCGATTAAGGCATCGACTTGCTCGTGAGACCACTCATCAAGTTTCACAGATAAAACCTGCAATGCATATCACAAATGATATAGCAAACTGTCATATACGAATATACACAAGAAGTAAAATTAGATACTTGGAAATAATAATATTAATAATAATAATATAAAGGTAAAATCTGACACATTATCATCATATTTTGAGGAGGTTACGAAAGTTTATCTCCGATAGAACTCTAGACTATTTTATTGAAGTTGCTCGTGACGTGTGAATGCTATGTAGATAAAGAATGCTGGCTAAAAGAAATTCACATCAGTAGCTATTTAAGAAAACAAAGCCAAAGTGGCTAAAATTGAAATATGTTCGAAAGAAACATATATGTTCTCATTGCGGATGAAATAGAGGAAAACAAAGGTGAAAAGACATGAGCATAAAAACTCAACTTAACACGACTTGATAACACTTGACGGCTCAAATTGATAAAGTTAATGAGCTCCAAACCTTTGATATATGCACTCCAAGGCTTCTGTGTACTCCCGAGCATTTGATACAGATGAAAGATCCAATGCTCACAGATCTGTTCACCAACAATCAACACACGAATTACAACAATTAAAGAAAAACTCATTAAAAAAAGATGAAGTTAAGTGAATACTAAGAAATGTCCTACCTATAAATATTGAACTAAAAGTCAATGTAAGAGGAAAAAATAAAATAAAAAAATTGCACTCCTTTGACTTACACCCATTTGGGATCTTGTGAACCACAATCTGCACAAAATTTGTTCCCATCTTCGGTCAACAGACTTGCCAGCCTCTCTCTTGGACCTTATTCAGAGAAAACGAGAGAAAAATTAGGAGTTGCGTCTGCGAACGTTTAGCAGATTTCTGATAGATTATCTTTAAGAAGAATGAGAAAATTGCAAAAGTGAACTTCTGCACAATGTGTATGCATCTAGTTGGTCAAAACTGCTAGGATTAAAGAGGGAAGCTCGCGTAACCAATTTAACTTGAGATGCGAATGGAGTAACGTCACGAAAAGATGAACAGATATGAGATAATCCACATAAGCGCCATATCTATGTTCTGTTATTGTTCATCGTGCTCTGTCAATTCCCTTTGGTAAATGACAAGAAGAAGCACACACTTAAAGACAGAAAGAAACCATCATAAAAGACTTGAACAGAGACGCTAAGCATAGAATCTTGTGATCCATATAAAGAAAATGGAAGGGGCCGGGAAGAGTTTGTTATAGTGAAGCAGAAATAATAATGAAATGAATCTTGAAATGTAATAATGAAAAAAAAAAAAAAAAACTTACTGGAATTATAATCTTTCCATTCTCCTGAGCATTGACTCCAGTTTGACGAGGTTTCCTTTCTTAAGAGGTCATATAGACAAGAACCTGCTTCAGCTGATGCATATAGTAATTCAAATTCTCATTTTTTGGTGACGTGAAAAATTCAGCTAGAGCTGACGAAATCAACCGAATAAAACATGAAAGGAAAATCCCACGAAATAGTATACAAGCAATGCCTCAACGAGCTATACTGATTATGACATGAATATATTAGCTAAATGAAAAACAATCAAGCCGTTACTCAAGATTACACTCATTTTGAACTGAAAGAGGCAAACTAAAGAAAAGATACTAAATGCTATCAATGCCCCTTATAAGATAAACCAAAAAAATGCAATCAACAAAAGAGTACAAAGCTGATAACCATGCCAAAATCTATTCCTACAAAAGCAACACAATAGACACCAATAAAAACCAGCTGAGTGCTTCTATTCGAACTTTCAGTATAGCCCATACTTTGAACTCAATGATGTTTACAGCTAAATCGGTCTTAATTCCAACATAACAACAACCATAAATTCTTGTGTGAGACAACATGGCGTAAACGGGTCAATCCGTCTTACTATGCAAACAAAAATTCATACTTATGTTTATGTTTTTTTATAAAGTACAAGCATTTTCTAATGAAGTATGCAACTTTATGAGAAAAAGTGTACTGTCAACAAATATTTCTAAAACAAAAATGCCTCAGTTAAGATACCTAATGTAAAAACAAAATGGATAATATATATATTATATATTATAAAAAAAAAGATACCTTCAATATCTTTAGCTTCCGTGTCTCCTTGCTGGATAGACATTTTAAGCCGAAGAAATTCTCAGGCCCCAGATCGGAAAACAGGCTCTATGATCTTAAACAAACATCTCATTTCACTTTTTCTCCGGCATTTTTTAAAAGGGGGAAAAAATGCAAGAAAAATAAGAAATGAAAAACACTGGAATTTGTCAAAGAAAAGAAAAAAAGGGGAGAACCGAAAAACACGAAACAGAAACAATTCTTCTTACATGGTAAATACATGGGCTGTTGTGTCCATTGAACAATGGGAAAATTGAGATATATTCAATCATTGGGACATCACCAGCCACTTTGTCAGAACCAGAGATTATACAAATGACAACTTGCCAATAATCAATTAGATTCATGCAACCTACAATGAAGAAGGGTCGGGACGATTGAGTAAAATGGATTGAACAACTGATCTGTTTGATTACGTCTATGGATTTCTTCTGGAGAAAAAAACATAAAGAACGAATTTATAGTTTTTGATTTGTTAAATGTGGTCGAAGAAAACAAAAGTCAGAAGGTGGATAACATTGATCAATTAGCAAATTTGGGCGAAAAGCTATTTCTTTGCCGGCTGCTTCCATTTTAATGTATTTTCTTTTTTGGTGGTTGTGAATCGTCCGACATGTTAAGAAGGTGCATTCACTGTTCTGTAGGGACGCAAGCTTGGAGCGAGTGTCATTCACGTTTTCTCTGTTTTTAACTTTATATATATACATATATAAAAAGAAATTATTCATAAAGTTGTCAAACTTTCATAAACGAGTAAAGCATGAGGTCATCTAATATTCATTTAGTTAAAACATTTGGGTGGACTTGATAAGACTCCTTAAGTCGTGAAAATGTAATTTTTTATATAATATTATATAGTTGGATCGTTAAGATTCAATTTGACTCGTTAAACCTTGAACTCAACTCGTTAATATTGATAAAAGATAGCATGTTTGTTTATAAAAATTTTTGGTTTTGTTTGGATTTTTTGGTTTGATTTAGTTAATTTTTAAAAAAAAAAGTGGTATGGTTAATTAGTGGGTATATTAAAATAATATTTATAATAAAATAATTAAAATTGATTTGATGTAAAAGTAGGAGAGAGAGAGAGAGATTTGAAGTGATGGTTAGTTAAAATAATGTGAGTGGATGAATAGTGAATTAAGGTTGATGTGGTGTGTATGAATGATTGATTGAAATTATTTAATTATATTGATAATTTTGATGATAGTGAGATTGAGTTAAAGTTGTATTAAAAAAATGTTTGAGTTAAAATGTTGGAAATTTTTTGAAAATTTCTTATAAACAAACATGCTCATATGAGTTCGAACTTACTTAATTAACGATTCGAGTTAACACTTGTTCTAAATTTTCAAACATGGTAGATAAAGCTTTTTTTTATAATAAGACTGGAGATTACATAAAATTATAGTAATTAATTAAATTTAATTTGATAGAAAATGATCAAATAATAATATGCAGTTATGTTATTGAGAATAATGAAAGTAATTATAACATGGGAGAAGGCTACCATCCCGTCACAGAATCATTCTGTGAGAGTTTTTAGCCTTTGGATATACATAAAAGTTAGTTATGGTAGATAATCAATGGCTAAAAACTCTCACGGAATGATTTCATGAAGTGATGGTAGTTTTTTCCTATAACATGTACCCATGGTTGAATATTGAAAAGACCAGTTCAACAAGTTAAAGAAGAGAACAAATGATTGGGGTAATATTATTTTCTGTAATTTTTTTTAAAACCTCAAAATAATTTTCTAGGTGAAATTCTCTTGATATGAAAAAACAACCAATTGGACAATTTTCCTATGGAGCCATCGGATGGCTCGACTTATGGAGTCATCCATAGTTATTCACAAATGGTGTATTGACACGTGCCCTGCAATAGATACACATTGGACATGTGTCATAACATAAAGTTATGGATGACTCCATAGAATTTATGGCCAATTGAAATATTGGATACTTCGTTCTTTTTCTCATTCATAGTAAAAGTTGAGCAATTCTCCTCGTTATATCTATTTTCCTAGTCCAATGTCGTGTGATAAGAATTTATTTGAGCCTTATTTAAAAAAAAAAAAACTTTTTTTTTCTGCAGAGAAAGAAGCAACGCCTAGGCACTAGGATTATAACATTCCGTGGGTATAAAACCCCGATGACAAAATGATTTAAACATTGTCGGGCCTCAATCGGTGACACATCTAAGGGTTGAAACCTTCTAGACTACTTGAAACAATTCTTAACATGCAATCAACAGCAAAATTGGACTCACGCTACCCATGAAATACCTTTACCAACTATGGACTCTTCAACAAGTCTCTTTAGTTACTTATCAATGCGCTGTGGATCCCAAACTCAACATTTCACCTTGTATCATCGAAAAAATACAGAGACTATCCACTTCCGCAACGACATGTTTATAATTTGAATTCCATGCTAGTTGGAGACCTTGAAAGAGTCCCCAAAGTTCCGCCTAGTAATGGAGAAAAATAAAATTCATAATAAATTCCTTAATTTACCAATAGTGAATTTACCAATAGTGATGTTTTAGACAGCGGATGGTAACACTCTAAACACCACTTTTGTTCACATACAAATTTATATTTAAAAAATATATATATTTTTTTAATATATTTTATTTACATACATTTAAATTCAACACTTAAATTTAATACAATATGTATTATTATTATTAGATTTTAATCCACTCTAGTAATTATTAAAGTTGTTTTATATATTATTTATATTATAATAATAAATCAAATAATATCAAAATAGGTAAAATAAGCAATAAAATCTGTTGAACCACATAACGTTGACTCGTTCGGTATGACTGCCAATACAATATTTAAGACACTTACTCATTGCTTTTTTTGGCTCGAATCGATTTGACACCATAGGATCTAGTTGATCTGGAGTCATATCCAAACTGATTGGGTCCATTAAGCGGTCAAATATGGTCAAAACCTGGTCGACATTTGGTCAATCTATGAATTGACTCGGCATAGTCAATCCGGTTAACCATTTTTTAAAAATATATTTTATTTTAAAAAATATTGTATTATTTATATGGTAAATATTTGATTATATAATATTACAAGGACTCTTCAATGTATAAAACTTGTCTATGAATTAATTATTTTTATTATTTTTGTCTATGACCGAAAGCCCGGGCCCCTATTACTAAGATCCACAAATGAAATAATATTTTTATTACTAATTGTTTGGAAAATATTTAAGGCTCAATTCCACTTTATCCTTGTTTATCATACTTTATCTTCTCCTATTTTGGCTGAAAAAAATCGAGAATTTTACAGATAGATCAATGGCGGCAACAACGTTGGTGGCTCAGATTCCACGATCTTACTGTTCCATTTCATCACACAATCCGCTTATGCCCAAAACCGGATTTCATGTCCTCCACAAAACGGCGCCGTCTAGGAGAGCATCAACAGTTCGAGCTTCTTCGGACCCCCAAAGACAAGGTGCCGATGCAGCTAATGACAAGACACCATTTGTTTCCCAGGTCAATCAAACCCAGATTTTTTTCCTCTTTTTTTTTTTTGAATTTCAAGTTATTTTCATTTGTGGATCTAACTCATGGATTATCAGTTCTATCCATTAATAATAATAAATAAAGGATAATCTTTAAAAATTAAAATTAAGCTTAAACTTTAAACTTCTAGTTTGACGGGGCAGTCAGTCATAGTTTTCTAAACTAACTGGGATTTTCATTTTGTATTTTGGCTACAGTCTATTATTAATTGTTCTTAGCTTGTGGATAATTACATATGGAGATAAAATGTTAAAGATTGTTGCTAGACATGTCTAATCTAAAGTTCCGAAAGAAATGTGCATATTTTGTTAATAACATGTCATACTTTTTTAAGGTAGCATACTATACATATGCATGAATCACATTATAACCTTTCACAATATGATGAATCACATCTTTATTTTAAAAGTATGACATATCAGTCTGTCTAATAATTTTGCCAGATTGATTTACCGAATCATGTGTTGGCATGACCTGTATTGTTTGTATTGTTGATCTTGATAACAAATTTAATGAGAAAAGTAACGGATATGCTTGTCATGTGTATTTTCGGCAACGCAGTTTGTAATTTGTAAACTGTAATTCCAATGTGGGATGAGTCTATTCACATATGCCAACTGGTTATTGAGATTGAAATGAAAATGATGTTATCAAGTGTGTTTATTTTTTACAGGATGACTTGAAGTATTTGGTGATGTTAGGGGGAGGCTCGTTTGCAGGCGCAGCTGCTATAAAATATGGGAGCATTATATTTCCAGAAATCACAAGGCCGAATCTCGGGCTTGCTCTGTTTATGATTTTAGCTCCAGTCGTTATTGCTGTCTTGCTATTGATCAAGCAAAGTCGTGTCGATTGAGAGATTGTTCAAAAAAAGTAGAGAATTTTTTGTAGTCTAAATGTTATAAATTGTAGCAAAGTCGTGTCGATTGAGAGATTGTTCAAAAAAAGTAGAGAATTTTTTGTAGTCTAAATGTTATAAATGGTATGGTGTGTAGGATGATTTCCTTGCAGGCATAATTTTAGTTACTACTCCCGAGTTGAATCTCATTTTCTTTTTTTTTTCCACATGTTTCTGAAATTTTGATGCTGTTGAAAGTTGAGTTCTCTTGCTAATACAAGAAAAAGTCAGTTTTCCCATTATAACACAACTTCCCATCTGTTGTAATAGAATAGTTACCAAAATTAATGGACGGTCTAAACATAGAATATGTAAACTGATTAAGTGAATAGATAGGATATCAAAAGTAAAAAAGGGGATATTAGGGTAGTTAGGGTATCAAATCAAGTAATTATCCCATTCATTGACAAACTCAAAACCAAATCGAATTTCCACTCAATCTAGTTTTTGCTTACGGAAATTGATTAACGTACTTAGGTACCAAATTTGTTCAAGCTAAAACATGGAGTACAAGAGAGAAAAACACCTATAAGTTGGGCACCACAAAAGAAATTTTCCCGCATTATAAAACATCCAATTCCATCAAAATGCCTATTTAGCCATGTATCATAAGGTTGCAACAGAAAGAAATCCTTCCCCCCGTAGATAGTGTTTGGTTTGAGGGATAGAGTTAGCCAGCCAAGGTAAGTAAAGTAACAGAACTACGTGAACTTTGATTTCCAAGATAGGGGTCACGTAGGTAACTAAACTGATATTTATAAGTTAGAATATCAATTTTTAATCCAAAAATTTCTTCAACTTAAATGATATTTAAACGTATTAAATATAAATAAGTTCAAGTCCATTTTTTTACCATTTCTTTTAATGTCAACTTAAAATTATGATACAATCTTATTTTTCATTATCAATTTTCATTTATGATAGTTTTCTTCACATACGAACTATTTTAGACTGCACTTCAACTCCAATTTTTAACAGTGATACTGATTAATGAAAATTTCTAGTAATAAACAACTACGTAAATAAGACATCAGTCCAATCACCCAGTAATTAAAACAAGCTGATTTGCGTTTGATTCTCTCTCAAACAGTGAAATTCTCTTAAGAACTTGCAATTTATTTTCCAGATCAATACATTAATAAGAAAATATTTACATCCTCTAAAAATAGTATCTCACTCCAATTTTTACCAATAATAATGATTAATGAAGATTTCTGATATTAAACAACTACGTAAAAAATAACATCACAAACTCAAACAATGAAATTCAAGGAACAATCAGCAGTTAGAAGCATGATACATAATGGATACTCTGGGCGTGCCATCATTGCGTAATTGATGTTACTGCTTTGATTTGTGGTGAACTTCTGAAATGTGTTGGAGCGAAATTAAGGGGCGAGAATCCGAAGAGCAGAATGGTTGCTTCTGTCACGTTGCACGCGAAAACGAAACGTCAGTGATGGAACCATGTCCGGCGTAGCGGACTATTTTGGGACAATTCTATCGAAGATTAGGCACATATTTTTCAAGCTCATGATTGCTTTTCAAAAAGATACCTGACCATGTTAAATTCATGCTCTATGAACTTCATCCACTTAATTGTTATAGTTTTAGACACAGTGATGAACTAATTCGAGAACTTCTTGGATTAATGAGTGGAAGAAGATAAGCAGTTCATTACCTCGTTGTTGTGCGGACGATGTTTTTTGGTGATGCTATAACTCTCAGTACTTTCTTCCCTATCTTCAATCGGCATCGGAATTTGGACGGAATTGGATTTCCTAGTTGGGGAAGCCCCCTCGCATTCCATGACATGGAATGCTGACTGTGTTTATTTATGGAGGAGAGGTTTGACTTTTTTTCTCCCAATTCGTTCTTTTTTTTATTTGTTTTATGGCAGGGGATAGGCCAGAAAGTCTATGGAGCTATCGGATGGCTCCCTTATGGAGCCCTCCATACATTTATGTATTGACACGTGTCCAATGTGTATTTATTATAGGACACGTGTCAATACACCATTTGTGAAAAATCATGAATGATTCCATAAGCTGAACCATCCGATGACTCCATAGCAAAATTGGGGAATAGGCCTCGGCCTTGATGTTGTAATTTGTGTGGTAACCAAACCAGCTTTTGAGAAAAGTTAGGCTATGTCATTATTAAGGGTGAACTACCCAAAATAGACTCAAGAAACCCATTCAATCCATTTTTGTTTTACTGCTAATATATGGTGCTGCGGACCTTGTTTAATCCATTTTCGACCCTTGTGCTCCCTTAGCACATAATTTTTCTAGGGAATTTTTGTCTTGATTAAGTTGATCGGAGCTAATCACCAATATTTTTCATTTTCTGGCCCCTTAACAAATTTCCCATCTTCTTGAGTTATGAAAATTCTAGATATGCATTTTCTTGTATGCTTGCATGTGTATCTAGGTACCTTATGCTGAATGTGGATCTTTTTGTTGCTTAACTAACCATTTTTATATAGCATGTATGAACTGGTTGATAATAGTCAATGGAAAACAAAATCTGTGATAACAAAGGGCACTAAAAACAAGGAACACTGAACCCCGAGTTATTGCACACAGAGAGTTATCAAACGAAGGTAGCTCATAGGAGGACTTACATAGATCGGGTCTATATCTTACTGGGTTTCAGTTTATGGTATTCTTGTTTTGTTTTTCTCATAACCAAATGAGATAGTTTTTGTTTTATTCTGTATTCGAGCTTTTAATGTATACATGCCTACATTTGGTGCATGGATGCAGCAATGTGAATGTAAGATGAAGTGGAACTAAATGAACATAGTGTCACACACCTCTTGAATGTTATAAATCGTCGCATGGCTATTACTTATATGCGCGTACAGTCTAATATGTGAGTGTCGACATGCTTATGTGGGAACTTTTGTGACTACAAAGGATAAGCAAACAGTTCGGTATGTTGTTTGATTCTAATGCATTGATTATAAAATATGTAATGCGAAAAGAAAACTCATTCTAGTTTAGTGAGAACGACTAAAATTAAAATGTTAGGGTGAGCTGGATATTTTGGAAAGCGGATTTCTTCCCTAGAGTGATTT